AGGATGACCTTGAACTCCTAATCCTCCTCCTTCCATCTCTTGGATTACAGGCATGCACCAGTGCACCTGGCTTTGTTTTGTTCCAAAACAAAACACATTCCATGAGGCAATATTCTCATTTAACAGATGAGAAAAATTGAGGTTCATAGAAGTAAGGTGTGGGACTAGTTCAAGGTCACCCAGCTCGTGAAGGATGACTGAAACCCAGGCAGGACACGTGACCTCCTCTCCTCTCCCACTGCCACTCTGGCCTGTTGGGTTTCCAATTAAATATCCCTTCTCAGCAAACACTAGTGCATCTCACATGACATGCCAAAAGGTTATTTGGTATTTGAAACAGGGTTTCTTGGGAACACAGCACATAGGACAGAGGAAAGCAGGTGCTGAGTCAAGAATCTCGTGTATCAGTTTGGGGCCATTCTGCTTTGTGGGTTCTGACTCGGCGTATGCTCAAAAAGAAGCCGTCACTGAACTCTGAGTGCTCTGCTTATTTGTACCTATTTACAGCACTGCATGCTGCGGGGGGTGTTTCTTAATAAGAGACTCAGAAGCAGCAGTTTCACTAAAAAATGAAGAGCAGATGGACACTTGTCAAAATGAACTGGTGCTTTAAATAAACGCTGATTCCTTTCCATAATACTAAAAAGCTACTTTCTAGAGATGCTGTTTTAATGTATCCAGCTACTAGATAATTATTCCATCTTTCAAACTCATTATATGTGTAACAGTATACGAAGAAAACTCTGGGGTCACCTGGTGCTGAGTTCCCAATAGAACAAGCATATCAATACCTAATACTAATTGGTACTGTTTACTGAGGAATGGCCATGCATTATGTAATCCATTTTATATAACTGAGCTTATTTAATTTGTGGCATTGGGAGATAACTATTGTTAGCATCCTCATTTCACTGCTAATGGAGGCTTAAAGAGGTTAAGTAACCTGCCCATGGTCATCAAGTCCTTTTGTGGAGCTTGATCAAGAAGGTGGCTTTTCAGCCTCGTGACTCCAGGCCGGACCCAGTGCCTAGCATATAGCAGGGGTTTTCTGCAAGCTTATAATCAACCAAACCCTAAAGATTTTGAACACTCGTTGCCTTCATCTCATGGTCCCTTTGCTACTGCTGATTTTGGTTGTTTTTGTTTTTTTGGAACAGGATCTCACTTTGTAGCCCCTCCAATGGCTTGGAACTTGCTATGTAGAGAAGGCTGGCCTTGATCTCCTAAAGATCCACCAGCTTCAGCCTCCTGAGTGGTGGGATTAAAGGTGTGCATTACTATACCCAGTGCCTTTTTTGCTTTTTGAGACAGGATTTATGTAGTTCAGCTCAAACTCACAATCCTCCTGCCTCAGCCTCCCCAGGGCTGGGATTACAGACATGTGCCACCAGGCATATCTGTAAGAGCTGTTTTGACTTACAGATTTTTGCCTCAGAGTGGAGCAATTTGACTGAAAGTTCTGAGTAAGGCAGCCCTTCTTTCCTGAGCTGCACGTGAAGCCTCAGCCCTCCTGAGCACTATTTCCAGTTGCATTCAGCGGAGCTCACCTCCGCTGACAGCACAGTGACAGAGCAAGGGTCTCCTAGAGGGCTCCAAAGTAGGGACTTCCCCAGCAGCCCCAGCTCTGGTGATTGGCTAAGGGAAGATTTGGGCTTTCCTCCTGGGCACTCCGTCCTCGTGTTCCTTCCAACTAGTTGGCTACCCTCAGGCCTCTTCCATACGGAAAGGCTGGTTCTATGGGGTGAGGTGGAACTCTTTCCCTTTCTATGGCCTAGCAATTCACCTCCCAGCTCCCACATGGAATGGCTTCCTAAATTCAGAGAACTCATCTATTCCAGGGTATTGGGAAGATCCCTTCTGCCAGGGTGAAAGGTGGCTCTGCGGAAATAGAAATAAATACATGTAGGCCTGACAACAGATGACAGGTGAATTAGAAAAGGAAACCCTTTCTCCCTCTCTCCAGTTAAAAACCCAACCAAACAACAACAACAACAAAAAACCCCTCTTTCCTTAGAGATAAGGCTTGAGCTCTCCATTTGCAAGATGCCCAGAACCTTCCAAGAAAAGTACCTCTAGCTAGTAGCTGGTGGGAACTGGGCCCAATGCCCTCAGCCTCTCTCTGACCCCACCACCAAGGGAAGAGCCACCACCCCTTCCTTCCTGGTGATAATTCAATGACTTCTGCCATCACAATCTTATGTCCCTGCTCGAGTCCAGAAAAGGTCTCCGAGACCTCATAAAGTGTCCCTACTCCCTTCTGTCTCCTTATCAGAAGGGTCCACTGGGCTGTAGAGCACCCATATCTATTTCACTTGTGTATTGTCTCATTGTGTATTGTCTCTCCCTAGGATGTGAATTCTAAGAGACTGGGGCCTATAACTTTCTGTTACCCTTGCACACTCAGGTGCTAGCACTGTGCCAGGCATGTAGAGGCACTGAATTTGTTGGATGAATAAAAGAATGAGTTTATGTTATTTTGTGGTGCTGGGGATTGAACTCAAGGTGTTGAACAATACTTGATGGCTGAGTTACAACCACAGCTTTTGGTTTTTTGATACTAGGTCTTGTATATAGCTCAGGAGAACCTAGAAGCACGCAGCACACGCTGGGCTCAAACTCATCCTCCTGCCTCTACATCCCAAATCTGTGATTATACACATGTGCCACAAGTCCAATAGGATTACCTCATTTTTAATAGTAAACTTGCATATGTTTGAAATATGGGTACCTAAAACAGTGTGAAGTCAAGCACCTCACCCTCTTATTTCTTTTCCTCTCACCAACCTGCAGCTTGCTTCTACTTCCACATTAGCCAAAACCGAAAAGGCTTTACTGTAGGTGCTACAGACTGGGAAAATGTAAGAGCCATGCAGTAGAGGCTGCACTGATTTGAGGCAGGATGGCCTATCATTTTAGAGGAATAAATGGAATGGGAGAGGGACTTGTGGAAGGTAGAGGAATACATGGCAGTCTGTTCTCTGGATCACTATGCTCAGGGAAGAAAAAGGCAGATGGTCTGGTATGTCTAACTGAAGATGGAGGTAGCAAAAAAGGCACTTGGGAGGTGAGCCTCCATTTTGTGACAGCAGCACCCTCCTAGAGGATAGAGAGAATAGAGCAGGGAAAAGACAGTGAAAGTGACCTTGATTGACAACTGTGACAGGCAGCATGTGGTGGGATATCAGCCACACAGGGGCTTGGGCACTAGTAAGAACAAACCCAAGATGAAGAGATCCCACCTACAGAGGAGCCTAAAAGGGCTGAGGAGCTGGAGAAGTGCAATAAGAGCTTCAGTGGGAGCCCAGGAGTTGGAGAGAGGGACCTGTGAACTGGGCTTGAATCCTCAGTGTGCCGCTTCCCAGGTCAGTTAAGATGGTACTTAGATCAATAACTAATCAGGTTTGAAAAGAAAGCTATTTCCAAAGGTGATAGTGTCTCTTTTGTTTTCAACATTAAGTGAGCTTTGCCTTACAGACAGAGCTGCAAGCTCAAAGAGTGGACCTGAGTCAAAGGGCTCCACCTTCCCAAGGAGCAAAGCCTGGGTTTCTCCAGACCATTTGCGTCCATGAATGCTGGACTCAGGAATCAGCCCTGAGTCTGAAAACTGTATTTAAAAGTCTGGCCTGGTATGGTGGTGCATGCCTTTAATCCCAACAGTTTAATCCCAACACTGGGGAGGCAGAGGCAGGTGGATCTCTGTGGAATTCGAGGCCAGCCAGGTCTACATTTCGAGACAAGTATCAAAAAAAAAAAAAAAAAAAAAAAATTTTAAACTTTTTGGGGGGGGGGGGGGGGTTTGGTA